AGCAGCAGCAGCAGCAGCAGCAGCAGAAGCAACAGCGACGATTGCAGCGACAGCAGCAGCAGCAGCAGCGGAACCAACAGCAGCAGACGCAACGGCAGCAGCAGCAGGAGGGCACAGAAGAAACTGCCTAAAAAGGGCCCCTCCGGGGGCCCCTTAGCCTCTTGCCTGCGGGCAGCAGTACCATGGGGCCCCCCATTTTAGTTCTTTAATCTTTTCTTTCTTTTTATGAAAACGAATTTATTCTGTTGTTGTTGCTGCTGCTACTGCTAGAGGAAATCCTCTTAATGACGTCCTTACGTCTTGGGGGAGCGCAAAGTCTGTCAGCAGCACAGCTGCTGCTGCTGCTGCTGCTGTTGCTGCTGCTGCTGCACGCAGATAGCAGCTGCCTCTCCCTTGCTGCTGAGAAGGAACGGCGCTGCAGACCGCCCCAAGAGCATCGCATAAGACTTAAGCAGCAGCGGCAGCAACAGCAGCAGCAGCAGAGGCGCCACAGGTCAGTGGCTGCTGGAGGCCTGCTGCGGTGTTGTAGCCTGCAGTGCCAGCAGCAGCAGCGGCAGCAGCAGCAAAAACAGCAGCAGGTGCGAGTGCAGCCCCACCGGCCAAGGGAACACAAAGATGCAGCAGATGCAGCATTTATAGGTTTAAGGGTTCCGCAGGCAGCTGCTGGTGCAGCAGCATCGGCAGCAGCAGCAGCAGCAGCAGCAGCCACTGCCGCTGCAGCTGCCGGCCCATCGCCGAGTTGCAGCCGTTCTGCTGCTGCTGCGCGTATCGGCTTCACCGCCTTCCCAGCAGCAGCAGCAGCAGCAGCACCAACTGTAGCAACGACAGCAGCAGCTACAGCAGCAGCAGCACGACACCCACCTCGTTTACTCTGCGGCAATTCGGCCATCAACGGGAGCAGCAGCAGGAGCAGCAGCAGGAGCAGGAGCAGCAGCTGCAGCAGCAGCAACAGCAACAGGAGCCCCCTGCTCTGTAGCTCTCGTGATTATTATAAGGGTTTTGCTTCTCTTTCATATCAGCACAGGCCATCAAGCCTCACGGCAGCAGCAGCAGCAGCGAGAGCAGCAGCGGCAGCAGCAGGGAAGGCAACGGCAGCAAAAACTGCAGCAGGAAAAGCAGCAGCAGCAAAAGCAGTAGCAGCAAACCCCAAACTGAGGACGCGGCCACCCTCACGCAGCGCAGCAGAAGGAAATATCCTGAAGCCGAGGGCAGCAGCAGCAGCTCCTGCAGCAGGCCGTGCAACAACAACTGCAGCAGCACCAGCGCATGCAGCTGCAGCAGCAGCACGAGGAGCAGCCGCAGCAGCAACGGCAACTGGCGCAGCAGAAGCTGAAGCAGCCGGCGCGCGTGAAGCGGCTGCAGGAACACCAGCAGCAGCTGCAGCAGATGCCGCAGCAACAGCAGAAGCAGAAGCAGCAGAAGCTGCAGCAGCAGCAGCAGCAGCAGAAGCTGCAGCAGCAGTGGCAGCAGCAGAAGCACCTCAAGCAGCAGCCTACGGAGCCCGCAGCTATCGCCTTGTGCTGCTGATGAGCGGCCAGCTGAGTGTAGTCGAGACTCAGTGCATAGTGAGGACATACTACTTGCAGCTGCTGCGCGCAAAAGGTAATTAATTTAATTCTTTTTGAATAATTAATTTAGTTTCCATTTGAATAAATAAATAAATAAATAATATTTTAAAAGGAGAGAAAACAATTCTAGACACGTGCGTGCGACGGTGCTGCAGCAAATGACTCGCGAGGCCTGCAGCCGCGGCTGTTGCTGCTGCTGCTGCTGCTGCTGCTGCTTATGTGCATACAGCAGCAGCAGCAGCAGCAGCTCTTGTCCGTCTGGCTGCTGCTGTTTTATTCCTTTTGGGCTCTGGAGTTTATAGCTAGAGTGTCATTTAATTTATTTCTTTCTTTTTTCATTTAATTAAATAAATGACATAATAATTCATTTAATTTCATTTCAAGAAATGCGAAATGCAAAACAGCAAATTAGCTTTTCAAGTTTTCTGAATTTCATGTTCATTTCTTTTTATTTTGATTTAACATTTTTTAATGCTAATTAAAAATTAAATAATTAATTCTTCATGTTTAATTTTGCATTTAACATTTGTTTGTTTCAACTTTGTTCTAAATAATTAAAACTTTCGCATTTTTGCAAATTTGAATTATTCATTTCTTATTTCTAAAAATGAAATTAAAAGAAGTTCAGATAATGAAACAAAGAGGTGGAAGCAAAGGAATAATTAGAAAACAAAAGAAAAGAAAATAAATAGAGTGAACTTCGTTTGCTTTGCTGCTGCTGCTGCTGCTGCTGCTGCTGCTGCTGGTTTGCTGCAGCCAGCAGCGTGAGGGTTTACTACCGGGGCCTCCGGGGTTTGTCAACAGCAATAAAAGGAGAAGCAGCAACACACTTCGTCGAAATTCTCTGTCACCTTTTTCCTGCTGCTGTTCATCCTTTCAGAATGCGGCTGCAGCACGACGCCCACGTCCTCCGGTGCGCCCAAACCCTAAACCCTAAACCCTAAACCCTAAATCGTAAACCCCAAACGCCTTCCGGCGCTTCAGGCCACTCTTGAGACGCATGCAGCGCGTGCGGGTCTGAAAGACTCTGCCTCACTTTTACTGCTCAGGATGTAGGCGACAGCAGCAGCAGCAGCAGCAGCAGCAGCAGCAGCAGCAGCAGCTGCAGCTGCAGCAGCAGCAGCAGCTGCAGCAGCAGCAGCTGCTGCAGCAGCTGCAGCAGCAGCAGCAGCAGCAGCGCTGCGTCGCTTTGCGTGTGCGTCTCAGGTTCATGTTTTTGAATTTGGAAAAGCAAAAAGGAGTGGATCTTGAGGCCCTATTAGCTGCTGAGGACTAGAGCAGCAGCAGTTAAAGACAAGCTGCATGTTTTGCTGCAGTGCAGCAGCAGCAGCAGCAGCAGCAGCAGTTGTGCATATTTAGTGCCACTTCTCGCGCTTTTTGTGTCTCAGAGATAGAAGTTCAAATTGCCAAAAGCTGTTGTCTTTTTGTTTCTTGTTTCCCTCCGAAGTCTCTTTCCTGAACAATTCAATTATATCACTTAATTCAATTAATTAATTAATTAATTTCATTTAATTATTTAATTTAAATTCACTTATCCGCAAGAAGCCGGCAGTGGAACTGAGCAGCAGGCGCGGCAGCAAACGCACCGGCATCACGAGCTGCTGCTGCTGCTGCAGCTGCTGCTGCAGCTGCTGCAGCTGCTGGCGCTGCAGCAGCAGCATGGGAGAAAATTCAGGCCCAGGAGCTGCCACGGCTGCCTCTGCAGCTGCTGCAGTTTTGTAAGTCCGCCCATAGCGTGTCAAGAAGGGGATTCTGCAGCAGCAAACAATTAGTAATTCTTTTTAATTTGTTCAACTTAGTTAAGCAGCAGCAGCAGCAGCAGCAGCTGTCTACCTCGTCAGATAGGCACCAATGGCAGAAGGAGGGCCATGGGACAGGGAAACCACCGTTTTCTGCACAACAGTTTGCCAGGGTGTAGGGTTTAGGGTTTAGGGTTTAGGGTTTGGGGTTTAGGGTTTAGGGTTTAGGACTTACGGAAGACTGCACAAGGCGCCGCCACTCGTCTTCGAGGGCCTCCTTTTCTTGCCGAGTCTGCGGGATGTGTTTATGAAGAAATTAAAAATGAATTGGAAAAATAAAAAAGAAGTAATGATATAAATAAACAAATAAATTCCACTTTTATTTTCTGGATTTAATTGGCTGCAGCAAATTGTTTTGCTGCTCACTTTGGCGAGCTTTTGGTCTTGTTCGTCAATTTCTGAAAATTCAAATTGGCTTGCTTTCAAGTTTACTTGGAACGGGATCTGGGGGCGTCACCTTCTTGAATTGACTCTGTTGCGGGAAAAGAATTAATAAAATGATAAAAATAAACAATTAAAATTTTAATTTTATTTTTTAAGTGAAATGATTCATTTTGTTCAGAGAAAGCTGCGGCTGAGGGGTCGATTTCAAGTTCTTGCCTTCGTATGGCCGGTGGAAAGGCGAGGGGAGGGTGTCGGCTGCCTTAGCCTTTTCAAGATGAATGGATCTGGAGGCGAAATTGAGAATGGGGAATTTGCAAAGATTTATAATTATGAATTTCATTTCGAAAAGTTGTACATCATGGGGCTTTGAGTCGTGCGCGCATCCTCAGCGTTGTCGGTGACGTAAGGCGTGCGCCCAACCAGTGACATGAGCAGGTTCTGAATGACGGCTCGAGGCGCTCTTGAACGAATTCCCATTGAAGTAATGGGTAAAAAGACAGAAAAACAAATTAAAAAGACTAAAGATCGCGTCATTTGGTTCCATTTTGCAGCTTTTTTGCATTTTCGCGCAGCTGCTCGCAAACACCATACAAGGGTTTCGGGTGTCCGTGCAGCTCCGCCAGCTGTTCGCATTCTGCGGATTCAAATTCATGTTTCACTTTCAACTTTTGCAAAGGACCATTTCCAGCTCGTTTTAATTCCAATTCCTCACAAATAACTCCTCCCTCACTAACTGTTCTTCTGTTTCGTAAAAGGCTTATGTGTTCTTGGGTAGAACACTCATTGGTCACGAGGAAAAGCGACGAAATTGATTGCAAAAAAGACGAAGATGTAAAACAAAGATGAAAACTAGTGAAATGAAATTGAACTTATTCTAGTTCTTTTCAGTGAACCTCAACTCCCTAAACCCTACTTGCACTTCTCCACGCCTAAAGCACATTCAAGTTGCAATCAGCCATGAGACTTAGGCTAAAAACAATTTAAGTATTTATTTGTTTCCGAGTTTGACCCGGCAGCAAGTGCAGCAGCAATAACAGCAGCACTAACAACTGCAGCACTAACAACAGCAGCAGCAGGAAGTGCAGCAGCAGCAATTGCAGCAGCCTCGCGCCCTCCATGGTTGACTTTTGTATAAGGAGCTTCCGCCAATGCCTAGCCTAGACCCTAAGCCCTAAACCCTAAACCCTAAACCCTGAAGCGGACATCCTGGAGAAGCGCTTTACCGGGGGTCTTTTGTTGCTATACTAGGCCGTGGCTTCAATTCAAATTGAATGCCTAGTGCGTAGCAGCAGCAGCAGCAGCAACAGCAGCAGCTGCTGCTGCAGATGCAAATGCAGCAGCAAAGCATGCCCCGGAAATAAAAAAAGAATTAATAAGAAGTTCGCTTTCAAATATGCGAATTAAAACTGCCTTTTCATTGCAGCAATGCATCATATACATAATATAATTACATTATAATTAAAATCTTCATTCTGAACACTTCAACAAACATTTGCTTATTTTGCTGCTTCCTTTTGCTGCTGGTGCTTCTTTATTTGCTGCTGCCTCTTGCTGCTGCTGCTGCACTTCACTCCGGCACCAGCAGCTTTTCTATTTTGTGCGTCCAGCTGTCGTAGCGGTAGAACTTCCGGCTGTCCCCAAAAGAACAATCTGAAGAGAGAAAAAAGCCTTAAAGTGCATGCATGCATGCATGCATGCATGCATGCATGCACGCTGGGGCTGCATGCGCTCTTGCATGCGCGCATGCAAATGGGCGTGCAGCGGCTGCCTGAGGGTCTCAGTGGCTTCTGGCTCAGCGCCAAACCCCGAACCCTAAACCCTAAACCCTAAACCCTAAACCCTAGACTCGCCTGCATTGCACACGATCATGTCGTCGGGGTGCTTCGGGTCCACTTTAGTGAAGGGGGGGCAAGTAGTGTCGCACAAAAACAGCTGCAGCAAAAGCATGCAACGCCACCCCACAAACGCATGCATAAAGTGCGGTGTACGTACACTCCACGCTACTGCTAAGGCGACGGACACACAAGCGCCACCAGGCCAACTCGCATGCATGCATGCATGCTTGCGAGTTGGCCTGGGCATGCATGCATGCATGCGTGTATGCATGCAAGTTGGCATGCATGCACACGCGCATGCATGCGTGGACCGTGCGAGTATGAGCGCATGCACGCACGCAGGCAAAATGCACGCATGCGTGCAAACCTGCACGCATGCATGTATGCATGCATGCATGCACGCATGCATGCACGCATGCATGCATGCATGCATGCATGCATGCATGCATGCATGCACGCATGCATGCATGCATGCATGCATGCATGCATGGGGAGGGGGGCTGACCAAGTTGGGAGTGGGGAAAAGGAGGAGGCTGCTGTCTTTGGGCTTGGCGAGGCGGTGGTCTGCGCGGCAGGGGCACAGGTGGGCTTGGCCGAGGATGGTGTTAAGGACCTGCGCAGCAGCAGCAGCAGCAGCAGCAGCAGCGGCAGCAGCAGGGAATTCGTCAGCAATAAAACTCGCAGAAGAGAAGCACGGGAAGCTGCAGCAAAGCTGTAAACCCCCAGAGGACCCCGGAGAGCCAACAGGGTTTAGGGGCTACAGCGGCGAGGGTTTGGGGTTTCAGTTTGAGGGTTTAGGGTTTAGGAAAGGATTTAGGGTTTGAGCGAGGGTTCATGGCCTGCGCTAGAGCTCGGGAAGGGCTGTGAGGCTGCGCAAGGGTTTAAGGCTTGAGTGCTGCACTAGGGTTTAGGGTTTGCGTGCTGCACTAGTGTTTGGGGTTTGCGTGCTGCACTAGGATTTAGGGTTTAAGCGCCTTACTAGGGTTTAGGGTTTGCGCACTGCAGAAGGGTTTAGGGTTTGGGTGTTGCAGGAGGGTTTAGGGTTTGGGCGCTGCAGTAGGGTTTAGGGTTTAGGGTTTGGGGCTGCATGCACTGACGACTTTGTCTAGGTTTTGCTGAATGCTTTCGTTTTCATCAAAACCCCCCGTCAAAAAACACTCGGTGGAAAGAGCAGCATAAATGTCATGTCTGAAAAAGGTCATGAGGCACGAGCCCTGTCGAATCCTGAGCAGCAAAGAAGCAGACGCAAGCCCCCGCTGCTGCTGCTGCTGCTGCTGCTGCTGCTGTGCGGCAGTGGGAGCTCCGCAGCGGTCGCCGGGCTGCCGCTGCGGGCGCTTCAGCAAGTGCAGCAGCAGCAGCAGCAGCAGCCGATGCTGCTGGTGCTGCTGCTGCGCTCGCTGCTGCTGCTGCTGCTGCTGCAGTGCCTGTACCTGCAGGGGCTAGTGGAGAAGCAAATTCTTTCTTTTGCTCCTTTAAACTGCTGCTGCATGCGCTCGATGAAAGGCTGCGTGTACACCGGAGCTACTGGCAGCCGTGGCAGCGACTCTGCAGCAGCAGCAGCAGCAGCAGCAAACGCGGCACGTCAGAAGCTCATTGCGGGCCTTTTGAACCTGCAGCAGCAGCAGCAGCAGCAAGAGCAACGGCAGCGGGAGCAACAGCTGGGGTGTACAGACACCTCGAGCGAAACAAGGGTCATCTGGGCCTGGCACGAAGACGAAGTAGCAGCCTGAGTTCCGCAGCAGCAGAAAGAAGAAATAAAAAGAATAAACAAATAAATAAATGAAATTAAAAGAAAATAAGAAATAAAAAGAGTAAAAAAACATAAATAAAACAAATTAAATCCAAAATTGGCAAAAGATTGCGCGCTGCTGCAGTGTCTTCTGCTGCGCTGCCTTCAAGAAGCTGCAAGTGAGTTGAGCTGCATGCATGCACGGTTTTGAAATAAAATATTGGAATTATTGAAATAAATAAATAAAATAAAATAATTAAATTGCATTTGAAACCCAAGAACGCGCTGCTGCTGCAGGAGCTGCTTCGCTGCTCACTCTCCCCCAGCACTTTGAACTTGTTCACAATTAGGGTGTACAGACACCCCAAACCCTCGCCCAAGTCTTTTCCATTTTCTTCTTCTTCAAAACTCCCCAAAAACACAAAACCCGCAGCAAGGGGTTCTCCGCTGTCTTCCGCCTCCGCAACGGCACCTGCGAAACCCTAAACCCTAAACCCTAAACCCTTGCCCCCAAAGTCCGAAGCCCCCAGCCCAAACCCTTACCCCTAAACCCTAAACCCTAAACCCTAAACCCTCAGCGCAGAGCTGGAGAGCCTAGGGAATTCGCCGAAGGGCCATCTGTAGTTAAGCCGCAATTGCAAGCTCCTTGCTGTCGTCTCTACCCTCTTAGCCCCAAACCCTAAACCCTAAACCCTAAACCCTAAACGCCAAATTCTGACCTGCGAAGATTGCCTCGAGCAGCTTGAGGTCTTTGGGGTTTGTGAATTGTATTTGGCTGATGATGTACCACTGCGTGCTGCTGGGTTTGTTTTCAGCAGCAGCAGCAGCAGCAGCAGCAGCAGCAGCTGCTGCTGCTGCTGCGGGGCTGTCGTCCTCCGCTGCTGCAGCAGGGCCCCTCTGGCTCTTCTGGGCCACTATGAAGTCCGCGAGCTTGTCTATGAGGCTGCTGCTGCTGCTGCTGCCCCCCCACGACTGCAGCAGCTGCTGCTCAATTCTTGCTGCTGCTTCTGTCTCTTCATAAAGAGACAAAAAAGAAAAGTCCAAAGGAGACAGTCTTGGCCCGAAGAAGCTGCTGACGTCTCCGCTGGGTTTGCTGCTGAGGCCCGCCGGCAGCAGGCTCTTGCTGCCGCTGCTGCTGCTGCTGCTGCTGCTGCTGCTGCTGCTGCCCAGGTAGGTGCTGGCTGCTGCTGCTTCCAGCTGCTGCCGCCGCCGCCTCGTGCTGCAGTAAAAAGGGTCTTGCTGCGGCAGCCGCGGGAGATGTACTACTCCAACAGCAACAAAAGGAGACAAATCGGAAGCAAAAGATCCTTCAACTAGCACCACGTGGCCTTCTCCAAACAACCCCAAACCCACTGAACACTGCGCCCACAGCAGCAGCAGCAGCAGCAGCAGCAGCAGCAGAAGGTGGGGCGCAGAAGCAGACGCGGCGCAGAGGAAGCGGCACCGCAGCAGCAGCAACAACAGTAGTAGCAAACACACACTGCAGCACACACTGGGACGGCAGCAGTAGCAGCAGCAGCAGCAGCAGCGCAGCAACAGCAGCGCAGCAGCAGCAGCAAAGAAGCGCTGCTGGCTGTTAGTGAGCTGTTTGCTGTCTTCCTGTGTCTTGACAGCAGATGATAAAGTGCTGAATTGATTGTTGTGCAAAACTTCTCTAACAGCCGAAATACACGTTTGCTGCTGCAGCTGCTGCAGCTGCTGCAGCTGCTGCAGCTGCTGCAGTTGCTGCCAAGCTGCTGTCAACGCAGCTGCTGCAGCTCTTGCAGTTGCTGCCCAGCTGCAGCCACCGCAGCTGCTGCAGCTGCTGCAGTTGCTGCCCAGCTGCTTCCGCCGCAGCTGCCTCAGCTGCTGCCGCTGCTGCTGCTGCTGCTGCTGCACTGATTAAAATGGCATTTATTCACCTGAGGATGCAATTTTAATTTAACTTTTGTGCAAAAACCTTCCAAGAAAAGTTCCTGGTTTGCGTCGGCCCCCAGACAGCCCAGCAAGAACTGGGTCTGGTGGAAAGCTCTGCTGCAGTGGTCCACCAGAGTCACCTGCAGCAAAAAGAACAAAAGAATTAATTTAAATTGCCAATTTAAAAAGAATTTAAAAGAAAAAAAGGAAAAAGAGCTGCCAAAGACGCAGACAGACTGCTGCTGCTGCTGCTGCTGCAGCAGCAGCAGCAGTCTGCAAAGGGTTAGCGAGGAAACTATTTCAGTGCGCCAAAAATGCGCCAAATGAGAAGCAGAAGCTGCTGCAGCAAGACCAGCAGCAGCTGCTGCAGCAAAAGAGACACGCGCACGAGCAGCAGAAGCAACGAGAGCAACAAAAAGAGCAGCAGCAAGAGCAAAAAAACGCCACAGAAGCAGCAGCAACAGCAACAGAACGAGCAGCAAACGCAGCGGAAACCGCCGAACTAGCAAAAGCAGCTGCAAAAATAGCAGCAGCAGCAGCAGCAGCAGCAGAGAGAGAAGCACTAGTAGCAGCAAGCGCAGCAGCTGCAAAAGCAGCAGCAGCACAAGCACAAAATTCAGCAGCAGCGTCCGCAGCAGCAGCTACAGCAGCAGCAAGAGCAGCAGCAGCAGCAGCTACAGCAGCAGCAAGGGCAGCAGCAGCAGCAGCAGCAGGCGCACTTTGGTTTTCTTGGCTGCGTCGGGGGCTTCGCGTGCATTTTGCTGCTTCTGGAGGCGAAAGAGAGAAGTGTCTCTGCAGCGCTGCAGCACGAGGGCAAATCTTTTCAAAAACATTTTGCTGCTGCTGCTTGCTGCTGAAAGGAGACACCCCACGCCCCCCAGCAAGCTGCACCGCGGGGACTCTTCGCTGCAGAACCGCTGCAGCAGCAGCAGCAGCAGCAGCAGCAGACACACGCATTTTTTTGTCCTTTTTTTCTCTTTTTTGTTTATTTTTTGTTCTTATTTATTTATTTTTTCATTCATTTATTTGTTTGTTTGTCTCTTATTTGTTTTTTTATTTTTCTACTTTCGTCTCTTCTTTTTTTGACCCACTTTTGTTTATTTTTCCTCCTTTCTGTTTTTATTTTAATTTCTTTTTAATCCTTTTATTTGTCTCTTTACTGTCTTTCTATTTGTCTCTTTTTGTCTCTTTTTTTATTCCTTTTTTTCCTTTTTTAGTATTTTTTTGTTTATCTGTTTTTATTTATTTTGTTGGCTTTTTATTTTATTTCTAACTTTGTGTTATTTATTTATTTATCTCTTTTTATTTGTTTACTTCTCTAATCCCTTTATCGTCTACTTCAATTTCTTTTAATCATTTTTAATTTTAAATTTAATTTTAACTTAAATTTAAATTTAATTTAAATTTAAAATTAAAAGTAAGTTTAAATTTAAAATTAAAATTAAACTTAAATTCATTTCTTTTTAATATTTTACCTCTTTGGATTCGTCGAAGGCAAACCCGGGAAAGTCTTTGAACGCGTGCAGCACGAAAACGCACTTGCTGCTGCTGCTGCTGCTTGCTGCTGCTGCTGCTGCTGCTGCTTTTAGCCTCATTGCTGCTCTTCTTTGCTGCCGCCGCAAACGACAAAAGGCCAAATAAGAAGACAAGAAGGCGCTTCGCCTGCTGCACCCAACGCCTGCTGCTTCCACGCTCTGCACACCCAAACCCTAAACCCTAAACCCTAAACCC